CACACGCTCTTGACGCCATCGCCAGTACAATCTCGCGCGTGCAACCGCGACATTCGCTGCATCGCGTACGTCGGGCCTGTCGTCGACGGCGACGACGACGACGACGATAGCGAATTTCGTGTAATCTCCTCGTATCGTCCTACGCGCGCGGAATCCGTGATTCTTTGCGCGCGAGTCTTTACGCGTCCCGCGTACCGGCGCCTGCTGCCACGGATCACGTGATCCTTCGCGCTCGGTAGCTGTGCTCGGACTTGTGTATACGAACAGATCGGAGCGTCGAACGGATCGATAGGGGTGACGATCGCCCCGGAATGGCCAGCGCGTCGTTCGACAAGCTCTGACGGTCCCCGGGGAATAACGACGACGGCGACGTCTGCATCGACGCCGATTTGGTAAGAGGTTATTGCTAAACTGGCTGCGCTCCATTTAACGTTCGCGACGTTTGTGAGTATCATCTTTGTTGTTCGTCAAATGTTGGGTTGATTTTATAATGAGTCGGTTAGTCGGTAGTTTTAAGTCTTATCGGTGAAGTTGATCTACAGCCAACTTGTACGACTAACGTTGTTTGGCCAATTTCACCGATCTTAAAATTAAGATTTCCGACTACAGGCTCATTGTAGAATCAGCATTAAACAAGAGGATGAAATAATTGCGAACGTAAAGTGGAACGCATCCTATAATATGCAAGACTATGAAGACAGATATTAATGTTTTAATTGACTGATCATCATTTACGCCGTTGGTATCTCATACGATAGCACGTGATTTCGCCTGGCTTTATTTAAATTCTGAAAAAATTGATATAAAAATTATTTATTGAAGACTTTGTTTACATGTTACATCGTATTTATCACCGGAATTTCGTTGCATGCATCACATTAAGAATCGCTATGTTGATTACGCTAAATACGGAATGCGAATTTAGAAATACAAGTATTTTGTAATATTCGCGACATAAATTAAAGTTTTAATTAATTCCTCCGTTTTCATCAAATTTTAACTTTAATTTCAATTCAACTTACTCTTGATATTTTTTTTATTATTAAAACTAAAAAATAAAATAAAAAAGAAAGAATAAGTCGAAATTAATCTATATTAACAGAAACATAAATTGGCTATTTTTATGGAGACTTCCGAGTTCTATTATTAAAAAAATGTTTAAATCTACTTAAATATTTATGTGATATTATTGAAAAATATATAATAACACGCACACACGATGTCTATAGTTCTTTGTTTTTTCGAGTTGGTTTTACTCTCGAAAGTCTCGGTGGAAATTTATGCCGTTTGACGAATGTCGCGTTTTTTTCTTGAGGAACGCAATCGTGTTGTCTTATAGTTTTTAGTTTCAAGATTAGCCGAGCATTGACTCTTCTATGGAAACCACGTGTTAATTCGCATTCGTCGCGTCACTATGAATTCACGAACGTTGCGTGTGTCAAGTTATTTTTAACTGTTTCTCATGCATATCCGTTGATCAATCACCGTAACGCGTAATGCATCGGGTTGCGTGGATCGCCGAAAGGAACAAACACGCAAAATATTTCAGTATTACGTGTATCCCGTACGCGTAGTCTCCTTGAGTTTCTACATAGAAGTGCAGAGACGGCGGCCACCGGAAGTACAGACTGCTGATAGCGGAACTCACGCTGAAATAGAGACTGCGAACGCCGAGTACAGTCTCGTGAAAAAGTTCAGCTCTTTATAATCGAACTTTGACCAAGCGATCAACTTTGATCTTATCAACATCAAGATCTTATCAATTTCTTTCGCTTTTATGATTTTCCTCCAGATATTTTATAAACATTTAAAAGTTTAGTTCATACTATTATATTTTGCTTTTAAATTCAGTTATTTGTAAGTTATTTGGATATTTCGAGAAATAATAAACAATGATTGTCGTAAACGTTTTTATTCAATTTATCATCACATCGAGTGTAAGGGAATATTTATAAAGGAATATTTATGTATTTTCTGTACTTTGACGAACATTTTTATGTACATATGTACGTAAAAAGAAACGGCGAGAAACGGGATATGTTACATTGATTGAATTATGCTTACGGCTAACATCTCGTTAGACATGAGATACTATAATTATACATTATATCCTTCAGACAATGCATATACACTTTGTTTTGCCCTTTATCACAAACGGGTTTAATACCAGCGAGATAGAAACGCTTGCACGATGTAACTGGAACGTCAATGGTAACCGCAAATGACGGAGTCTCGTAGTCCGCCATTAGAAATATCACGGTATGATTACGTATTACGTACATACGCGTACGCGTGTTTGCGCGTATATACGCAGATGAAAAGAAAATGTTGACGTGGACGCAATCTTATCCCGCGGGTTCGAGGTAACTATCGCGTTTGACAGAGACGAATTGTGCCATTAGGCTTTAGCAAAATGACACTTTATCGTAATGAGCCGCGGAATTGTCCCTTTGTCAAAACGAAGGCACGTGAGTCCAATCAAGACTCTACATCGGATTGAAACAATCGAACGAGTATCGTATTAGTGGACTTTGCGTGTTTGCAGACACTTTGTTTTTAGACAATATTTCTTAAACAAAAGATAAAAATACAACTTCAAAAACATAAATACAAAGTAAAAAGTGTCTTCTATCAAATAGTATAAGCAATTTTTATAATACTGTTTGCAATTTTGCAATAATTAAATTTTTCGTAAGTTATGCAAAAATGAGCATTTCTGACAAAATGGGCTCCAAAACTGACATAATAGGCAATAATACCAACATTCCTATTTTATAAATAAAGATACATCCTATTCTCTGTAAAGAAAACTAATTTATGAAACTATAAACATTTAAAATGACATAATATTATCAATAATACAGTCACTATTATTTTAATTACGCAATTTGCAAAAGAACACCGTAAGAATTTTCTTCTCGGATTCATAGAATTGGTTTTTAGCTGATTTGGTATAGAAATAAGCCACAAATATATGAATTATGAGTTTGTACTTGTTTAATTAGCTAAACAGATCATGATTTTCTTAGTATTAATAAAGTGCAATAGTTAGTTTCTGAGAAATAAGAGGGTGTCACTTTAGGAGACTTATGTCAGGTATCGGTGACTTTCCTCTAATATCTAAAAATGTGGGAATAGAATCAGAAGATTCTGATCATATCAATTAGAATTTTGGCTGATTTCAATCAGAAAACTCATTTATCCAAGCATTTTCAACTAAAATTTAATCAATATATCTCTGTATTGCATTACAAGCCGTACTTGTAAGGCCAAGAGAGCTAAAAGTAACCCGTGCTATATTTAACATAAAAAATAGTTACGTAACTTAACGCAGACACTTCTTAACAGCTTGTTATCGCGTATAATAAACGGTTAGAAAAATATAGCTTCGAACACGGTGCGTTGCGAACACGTGAGTGCCTCTGAGATACTGAGAACGCTTTTGCGTTCGCGGTTATATCTGATTCTTGGACGTGCAACGTACTCTGCAACGTATCTCGCCGATCGAATGTCTGCTTCCGATCAAACGAAAACAATCGTTGCAAACAAAGCCTGCCGATCGGTGAGGCGCGTATCGATCGTCACGAGGTCGGCATTGGTCGGCATCGGAGCTCAATGTGCGCATTCATAATCGTCCAAGTCGATCGGAGGCGGACGCCTCGATGGTTAACGAGACTTACGAGACGGCGGCAACGCGTTCCTCTCTCGTCTTCGTTCTTATCCCATCCCGCGACCGTCGTCTTCGCTCTTTGCGAAACAATACGGCGATCGTTAGCTTTTCTACGAGCGGCTTTACGGGCGCGAACACCCGGTCGTTAGAATCCAGCTCGATGCTCTATCGCGGCCTCGACCACACGCTGTATCGAAGTAGTGAGCAGATAAGATAGCGCGGGCCGGTTATCGGACTCGCTTACTTGGTTCACCTGCGAGTCCGAGGTATACACTCTTATCTCGGCCTTTTATCTCTGACCTCTGCTCCGCCGCTTGATATCGCGCCGCGTTTACGGCGCAGCCACGAAACGTTCGCGGTATCGTCGTATGCACGCCGACGATACCTATAATGTCTACATTGCGATGCGATAGTGCGTCCGTCCTCGCACCATCGCAATTTCTTTGGATATGGATATGTTCCTCATATACGCTATCCGTCGTCCATTTCATTTTTTTCTCTCGGATCTCTCGATCCTCCTCGATCGTCTTTCGTCCCGTCCCGTGTTCCTCGATACGACGCGTCAAGGTAAACGACTGGCGTGACTTTTGGCATCGAGTATATAGTTGATAAGATATTGGATGATATCACGATATTTTTTTCCATCTGCAAAGAACAGATCTATATTTCCAAGCGTCGCTCAGAATATACCGAAATAGCTGTCGCTGCGCGCACAAGTCGCGAGACGTTTGGCTATTTTTATTTAATCCACTTCCGCTGCGAAAAACAAATAGAGTTACATGTATAGGGCATTTAATGAAATGAAACAAGTGTGGCACGAGTTCTTTTTCATTTTACAAACTCGTTTACATTTTATAAGTGAATTCAAAATCACCTCAGTAAAGTATACACCTGCGTATGGTTTAAACGAGCTGTTGCACTTCTCTTAACAGCTCAGCGTGACTTTTGATACTTTTTTAGGGCTTCTCCCGATTGCGAGCCTACAGGTAGCATACCTCTCGCCCCAATTTTCAGAATCGCTTTCATGCCATCGTCCTACGGCCGCTCTTTCGCGCCCGATGTTTCTCGTCTTTCTCTTTTATACTACCTCTCTTCTCTAACTCCCCCCTCCCCCTCTATTCTTTTTTTTAAAGCCTGTCTTCGTTCCACGAAGATGCGATCTTGTCCACCGACCACGCCTTCGCGGCGTACCGCGTCGTGCGTCGATCTTGTTGCGAGTCCCCTTCGTCCGCCATCTCTTCTCTCTTCCTGCCGTAGGTGAGAAAGAAGGGAAAAACGAAGGTCGAGAGAGAAGGCACGGTTCCATGGCCTCCTTGGGGAGGCTGCAGTGGCTGCACTCGCGATGCTCGGTGGCGGCTTCAAGTTCTTAGCCGGCTTCTTGGTCGTTACTTGTAAAATAAATCTCGTTTCGTCGCCGATGATCGTCTATCCCCCTCGTTATCTCCCTCCAGCTGGATGGCACTTCCGTCACCATCTCCGTGACGTTCCTCGTCGTGCATCGGTGCCTCGCAAAAAATCGGCTGCGCTCGGGCGGAACGTCATAACCGTGTGTTACCCCGCATGCTTTTCTTAGCGGCCACGATGATTTCTCGCACGTTCCTCCTCTTCGCGACACATCGCGCATTACATCTATACGGCTGCCATCTCTCTGATTTTCGGAGACTCTGGTTTTCTGAAAGCAATCTCTTTGAACAAATTTCTGGTTAATGCCTCAAAATGACC